TTCTGATTCTGATTCTGATTCACATAGTTATGAGTCCTTACCAAGATTAGGATCTGGATATGTTTGCAGCTGTACCGCTCTACAGACTGTAGCGTTGATAGCAAAAGTTTCTGCTAATGGTGAACTGTATGTGTGGCTTCCCAGGGTGAATCAGCAGTGACGGAGTACCCCGTCTTTGGTCAGGTCTTCATCGTGCTGCTGCTGGTGTCGTCAGTCAGCTGTGTGCCCCTCACAGCTCTGTATGCCTTCTGCAGGAAGAGGAAAGATCGAGCCTATGAAAATCGTCCATCTGCTGTGAGCACAGTGTCAGTGTAGGGACCAAACCTGTCCTGCTTCCTGGACCTCTCCATATCTGCACTTCAGCTGAGCAGCAGGAGTACAGTATTTCTTACCTAATCCAGAGTGTGTGGTGTTTGATTTGAGTTTCACCTTAGCGACGGCCCTTTTGGACTGTTTGTCTGCAAAAACGACGTCGTTCCAGTGTTGCCGTAGTAACGGCTTAGGAGACATCAGACACAGGCCTTCTTTGTTCAGAATACGCTCCATATTTCCTTTGAATCTGTTGTATTATTTGTCTCAGTATTAAAGTCAGACGTCTGTCACTACATTCAGAAGAATATCCTCTAAATCTCAGCTGTGGAACATTATTGCTCACAGATGTAGTTTGTCTGACTGTCAGATGTTTAAATATAGTTGTAATTTGGTCATTTGTTTGTCGTTATTTTTCTAAATAGTAGTACGGTATTATGAATGTATGTACATAAGCTACTGTGAGTTTTAAATGTATTGTTTTAATCATTTTTTCCCATCTTACACACTGTAAACATGTTTTAAAGCAGTAGTGCACAGAAGTGAGCACTAAAATATCGTAGGCATCAAAAAAGGAAGTCCTGTCCTATCACACTATAACATCGCACTATAGTGGACTTTTTAAATTATTTGGACTCACCTGTTTCTGTCTAATAAGAATAGTGATTGGTTAAATTCTCACACACATGCTAGATTAGAGCCTGTGACAACAATCTCATTACAGAGGTCCTACTTTCTGTTTTGAAGTATCTTTGAGCAAAGTGCTGTTTTTGCATCACTACCAAAAATGACACTTGATTCAAGACTCGAGCTGGACCTGTTGGACTGCACAACAGAAAGCCGAGACGTATCAAACCACATCGGCTGATTTCCTTTCTTTAAGGTAAATATGATGGACATATCAGTCATTGGGTTTTCCTGTCGTCGAATTAGAGCTGGCACTGAATTATGTGTGTACGAATTATCTGCTTTCTACAGGATTTTTGATAACTAGTTTTTTATTCATTTTAAAAGGGCTGGCAGCTCACTGTGAACCAAAATGCCTGTATGAGCCAACAGTGCTGTGCCAAATCACAATTGTAATAAAAAAAAAAATTCTTTGTACATTCCCAAATATGTCAAATGTGTTTATACTGTTGGATATGTGACCGAATAATTGGACTAATCAAAAATGTGATTTTTGCTTTTTGTGCCAGTGAGTAAATAAATGATGAACTGTTAGTTTTCTTGGACATAAAGCATCTTGTAAGTCACTATGTTGTCTTTCAGCTTCATCTGAAATTTATTTGGGGGGTTTTGATTAAAGAAGTAAGACATTTATGTGCGTGTGTGTCTTTTAGAAGACAGACGTCTCTTTTTTTCTTGATGGATTCTGTCCCAGTACATCTGTAAATACCGAGTTTGAAACTGCTTCTTATATAAAGCCAGTTGACCTTTAACCATTACAAACATCAATGGAGTGATGTTTGTAATCATTTGGACTTTTTTTTTGCATACTGCCACCTGCAGGTATTCATAACTGACTGTAGGAGTCAAATGTAAATTCCACAAGAAACTCCTGACCTTACATGAAAATGTCTTGTCTGTTCCTGTGTCTTGTTTTTATGGACCTTGTTGCATCTAAATGTTCATGCATATTTCATATGAGATAATGAGATGATGAGATAGCCTTTATGTGTCAGTTGCAGGTCTTTTGCCCACAACCGAGATGACAGACCTTGCCGACCGTACATACAATACACAAACATCACATTGGGGAGACAGGTCAGGCTAGGTAGCGAGGAAAAAAACATCGAAATGTGTAACACAGAAGGATAATACAGGAATGCACAGATATCAACACACCACAGCACAATAAACACAGACAGCAACATGGGAAAGAGTTCCAGTGTGTACATCTGATCTGGGACCGCTGCAATCTTCGACTGCGCCTCCAGCTGACCCGATGTCCACATCAGAGGGGAGGTAAGCGTTGGAGGTGGCGTTGGATCCGGGGTAGGGAGGGTGATGCGTCAGTGAGTGCTTATCAGTATATCGTTAGCTTCATAGCATAAGTGCCTAAGTCATTTTTTGGTCAAATTGAGATTTTTGCCTAACTTTACTCCCCTACCACTGCTGCATCAGTCTTGTTTTCCGAAAACACAAAAAAATGACTTAGGCACTTATGCTATGAAGCTAACGATATGTGTGCGTGTCCATAGTTCAGCTGAGACAGTGTCCTTCGCCCTGCCAGGCTAAGTAAACAGTCTTCCAGCCAACCTTGCAGGGAATGGGAAGGACAGACTAAACTCAGTCGTTATCAGGGAGTGTTGTTCGGCTCCAGCCTTGAGCCCACAGCTGGCGCCGAAGGGGTAGCAGCATTATGATGGTGATTTTTCTTTTGTGACAACTCATGAGAATTTCAAAGCTGTTCTTTAACACTCCGACACTGGTCTCTCAATCTCCCGTTGGAGAGCCGCGAGCTTCCCCATGATGGTATCAAACTTGCTGGTGTTTTCATTCTTGTGCTCAGAGAGCTGATTACTCATGACTGCAGTGAGCTGCTCCACGATGTGATCCAACGTTCGCTCAAAGGTGTTATTCTGAGCAGGCCTCTCCTTGATGTGTCCCAATATACGCTCAGAGGTGTTGTTCTGAGTATTCATGGCAGCTGCGTCTCCAAGCTATTAACCATGCTGCTCTCAATGAGTCCGTTCTGAGAAGTCGCGCCTCGTCCCACCATTTCAATCCCAGCGGGCAGCTTTGGGGGGTTTGAACAGCCGGTTCGACTTTCTTAATCCTCCAATAAGCCAGGGCCAAGCCAGCTCCGATCAGCAAGAACCCTGTTACCATGGTTCCGAATAGGTAGATATCTTCAGCGTCCTCAATCGACAGTCCCGCCAGACACACGATCCTCCATGTCTGCCACCCGTCCATCGTGTATCCGGCAGGGAAAGTCCCTCCAGACTTCTCGTTGAGAAAAGGGAGTCAATAGCATTCAGAGACCAGTTGATCAAATCCATAATTCTCTTTAGGTTTTAGAAACAGACTGTGAGAGACTGTTCCATCCTTGTTATGGAATACATTTTTATGAACTTCAGTTACAGGACAGGTGGTTTCATCGGTCAGGGAGGCGCTAACTGTTAAAAGGGAGTTTTTCCTTCTCACTATAAGTGTTTGCTCTTGTGCGGTCGTCTGATTGTTGGAGTGTTCTTTGTAGGATCTTTCACTTATAATGTAAAGTGCCTTCAGACAACTGTTGTACTGATTTTGCTCGATAGAAATAAAACTGCAAGGGTTTAGAAATATGCTGAAAACTAAATATCAGCAGGTCTATGACACGATGCTGACATTTCAAACATGGGGTAGCCGTGGCTCATAAGGTGGGTTGGAAAGTTGGTGGTTTGCTCCTTGCTTGAACGTGCAGACTGGAATAGCTATCCATGGGCAAGATACTAAAGCCTGAGCTGACGCACAGTGAATTGTGTGAATGTGAAACAAGGTGCATGTACAGAAAAAAGCACTTTGAATGACTCTTATAGAAAAAAAAAATCCAACCGGTCAGTTTTACATGAGTCCTCGTGATGTTGTTTGTCAAAGGATTTTTGTATTTTCCTTTCTTCTGATGATCATGATGCACCATGATAGTATCATTGTGCAGAGTCACACTGCGTGGGGATGTAAAAAATGTCAGCTGTAAAAGTGTGATCTGGCTCACTGAATCCCAATACCTGAAAACCGATTACACATTGATGGACACATTTATTTATTAATGTACTGTTTTTGGTGTACTGAAACTATTTAGCAGCTACCATACTTTATACACACGATACCTGAAAGCCTGGTTCTCTAAAGTGAAAAAATAAAATGTCCATACCCATACAAAGACAGTGGGAAGCTGTATTTTATTCTTGGTGTTTTGCAGGTTTGACCTGTGGGGGGTCGCCCAGCATGTTTCTCTTCTTGAACATTCAGGTTAATCTGATTTGGTATTTTAAGCTTCCTTGTTTCGTCATCAACTGATCCTCGTCACAGCAAATTAGTCCTTGAGTACACCGAGGTAATTGCTGTTATGAAATGACACTGTATACAGAAACCTAAATCTAATTCAATGTAAACAGTATGGTATTACTGTTACTCCTAAAATCCTTTTGTTGAACAAGAGTGAAATCTTTGATTAATTACTGCCACAATTAGTTGACGACTAATTTAATAGTCGACGTGTCGTTTGAAGCTTTGTAAGACCCCAAAAGACGCAGTAGTAGGATTTAAGAGTGTAATAACGGACCGAGACAGAAGCACTGCATGTACAAGGATGCCAGCTGCCGTTAAACCCCGAAGAAGAAGCAGCTGTGTCCGGTGTCGTAGCTGTGTCCAAATTCAGGAACCGCGCGGCCCAGCTTAGTTTCCAACAATGGCGGCAGCTAGTTAGTTTTAATATTACTCTTATTAATCTTTCTGGGTCACAAAATAAACGTTTAACATATGTTACAGGAAAATGATTGATTCTGTTTCTTTACCTTCTTTTAAATGTACAAAGATGCCCTTTGTCTATGGTTAGATTAGTTTAGAATTATCCTTTTAGACTTTCCCAGCGAAGACATATTGTTTTGGGACATATTGTTTTAGATTGTTTTATCTCTCACAGCTTTCTCCCAGCTCTCTGCTGACGAGACTAGCGCCACATATGGAGTTGTTTATTTTATCTGTTTATTATTTTCTTATCCTGTTCTCACTGTCTCTTGCCTGTATAAAAAGTGCCAAGCCTCTGTTCACGACGTGAGTTGTTCTCAGCAGCTCACCCGTGTACACGTTTAGCAAAGAAAGTAACTTTGTCTCATTGTGTCTTTATTTCTCCTGGGTTTTTTACAGAGTTTTCCCCCAACATTTCTTGGTCCTTCGGAGCCGGAGCGCCTCCATCGTGTCCCATCTCCGTGACCAGTCCACGTTGTTCGCCTGTCGACAGCTCACACACCAGGTGTGTGATAAAAGACCAAGAGCGTTAAATTCGGGTCTTGGCCAACGTCTTAGAAAGTGACCCACGGTGGTGGGGCCCGATCGAGGTGGACCAGACCCGGCGACACTGACCAGGTAGATACAGACACACTGACACAATCTTGCGTAAAAGCGCATTTTAAATTCAGGGAATTTAAAATAGCGGAAGTAGCTCGTCGACTGGTAGCTCTGGGAGCTCGTCGACTGGTAGCGTAGCTCGTCGACTGGTAGCTTTGGAGCTCTGGGTAGCTCCCCCAGCTGGGTCTAGACTGGGTCTAGGGAGTAAGTAGCTCTGGGAGCTCCCCTTATCATAAGGGTTCCGGTCGCGCGCGCGTCGAAGCTGTGAATGTGTGTGTGTGTGTGTGTGTATTGTTTTAATTTACGGAGCAAGCTGAATTTTCACGGTCCAATAAGAGACTGAGCTGCTCCTACTGTGTTTTTCTTTTACTGCTGTTCACTGACGTGCTGGTGAGTTGAGAGAACGGTCGAGTTCCGTCTCGTAAAGTTCACACCGCTTTCGGAACTAGTCCGAAAGTCGAAGGGCGTGTGAGCAACCACTCTCGTCTCTAATACCAGCGAAGGTGATAGCAGCTGTATCGTGTATATATTACTTAAACAAAAATAAGTAAATACATAAATAAGATGGGTAATCAAGCAAGTGAAATTAAAACTCACTCCTGCTGACGAGCAGTGGTGAGAAAAGAAAAGTCCAGACGCCGGACAAAACAGTGTCTGTAAATTGAGAGATTTAAGAAAACAAAATATAAACAGTCAGAAGAACAGAACTCAACTGCCAGTTTAGTAAAACCAGAAGACGAGACACTGTGCAGTGCCCACAATCCTTTTAGTAAACCAACACTCATTCCTGCAGCCGCATCTGCAGCAACACCCATATCAGGAAGAACATAATAATCCCTTATTAAGTGAAAACTAGAGATCACAGTAGTTTGAGGTAGTTTAAAAGGGTTGAAAACAGACCCCACTGAGTAGATATAAATATAAAAAGTACGAAATAAAGATAAACAAAGGGAAAATTACAGTAGAAATTATCTTTAGAGTATTTGAAATTAATAATAGCAAGGATAACAACCTGTAAAGTGATATTAACAATGAAACACAGTTGGCATGATGACCATGCCCACAATGTATAAAATGGATATAAAGCAAATAATTCACACGAAAATATTTTAATAACATAAATAAAGTATATTAAGGCTGTGTCACTGTTCAGCCAAGGACAGTGTGTGAAAAGGTAACTGTCTCCATCCTGGGAAAAGGATGATACTGCAGGTCATCTGAAGCCCTTGATGGATACAAAATAAAATATAAATAATATAATAGAACTGCCTGGTCCGCCATGCAACAGAGAGAACAAATGTGACCGCAGATTGGATGAATTCTAAATGATCTGTTTGCTGAATAAGATGATCCTAACTAACAAATTGGCTCAGTAGTAGTATAATGGTACACACTAATAAAATATTATAATATGCTATTGCTGTTATATAAGACAAAGAGGATAATATTAACAATGACATAATATTAATATGAAGAGGCACCTTAGTCGGTTATGATGTGAGGTGGATAATTGTTAAGCAGTAGTCTGCATCAA